GTTAATGGTTGGACTTGATGGTCTTAAAGGTTTTTTTCCAACCTAAACTATTACATGATTCTGTGATCTCTGTGCTTAGATGAATGAGGCTGGACAAAACCCCAGTCTGGAGTTGAACTACCCTATATTCAAAACTCCTTATTTCATCAGAGCATTTTTCTTTCACCGACTCCATCATTTTTGAATTTATTGCTTGTTAACTCATGGTGCTTTTGAGTCCTCTCCTTTTACTCACGTCGTGTTACACCTGTGGAGAGCACAAAGTTTATATTACTAGCCTCTTCCTTTAGTACAGATAATGGTGTTCTGTCTTTTTAAGTGTCATTTGGCTGTTTTTAATAACTTTTCTGTATGTACATACAGATGCATTTATATTATATAAATATTATGTATATTTAGAAATATATAGGATATTTATTTTATATGTACATAAAAGGAAACAGTTGTTAGTTCATCTTTTGCTGTTCATCTACACAAGCATCCATTCATGCTGGGTGTCCTTTGAAACCTGTTTGCTTTCCCAATAGTAGTATCCAGTTGGGGAGGGGTGTGCCAGTAAGACATGCTTTCACTTGCTATTTTTAACCCGTGTCCTTTTTTAGCTTTCCGTGAGTACGTGTATAATGCTGGGCTGTCAGGGATATGTCTTGCAGCACTATTTCCTGGCATGGGAACAGGAGGTGTGATTGAGAAATAGCTTTGTTACGACTCATGGACATAAGCTAAGCTCAGTTTAGTGGACAGCACCCAGATGGATGGTCAGGGGTGAGCTCTCACCAGATAACATGTCTCTGGTAAAATAAGCATGCCTATTAAATGAATCCTGCCTCTAAATGTGGCAATACTTACTGTACTGCATTTATACCCGTAACTTTGAGGAGGACAAAATTCAGAAGATTATGATTGAAGTCTGAAAACGTGTATGAATATGCAATTTTCACTCTTATCAGGCACAAATATTGAGAAGGTGCTTTCTGGCTTGAATATTCACAAATCCAGAAAGCCCTCTGACAATTGCCTTGACCTTTGAAATTGGTGATGGAGGAGTTTTAGCTGCTTTGGTTCAGAAAGGTTGAGGAGGTCACCCTGGAGCGATTAGTAACTCTGTTTTCTGCACTGTAACCATTATGAACCTTTCTAGTAGATAGGAAGGATTTTATTATCCTCCATCACGAGCAACTGACGCAGCAGGCATGGGAGAGGTTTTATTTTGTTTTTTCGATCTTTTTTCTACTTTAAATTATAATGAGGATGTGATAATTACCATAAACAGTGGCAGAAAGTGCATGGGACATAGCTCTGCTGAGGGGATTTACTTTTCAGAGAACTGAAAATTGGCCTGTGGTCTTCCAAATTACTCAAAGTGCTCAGTTTGAGTTCTGCTTAATCTCCTCTCAAGGTGTACCTTCCCAATTATGGATTGCAAAGATCAGATAATTAATCTTCCAGAATATTTTTGTCATCTTGCTTGTATGTGCATTCTTCAGTGTACATATAGCCTGGGGGGCATTGCAGATTAAACTGAGAGCTCTGTGCCTTAACTCTACAAATGCAGGGATTATTTTTTCCCCTCTTCAAGGCAGAAAAATCATTTTGTGGTGGTGTAAGAGCTTGAATTTACTAGTATAAATAACCCTTCTCCCTGCCTTTCTCCAAAATGCCCTTCTAGCTAAAGCACTTGCCTTCTTATGAATGCAGCTACAACTTACCTCCTTTAAAAATCTATTTATCAGCAATTTTATACTAAAATATGAACAAGTTTTAGATTTATTTGGGAATATCCCAATGAATTATGGAAACAATTCTTTGCTTTCCTATTTGTGAGCCATTCAAAAGGTGTTATTAAAACAATGAGAATTTTATGAACATGCATTTACATGGGGCATCACAGGCCAAATGTTTGCCTGGTAATACTGCAGAAATTTTTCACTTTGGGGTGGGTATTTCAGGCTCTTGACAGGTTTTCTTCTCTGATGCCATGAGCTTCTTGTCTTTCATGATCAAAATACAAAGTACAAAATGCATGCAGCCAAAAATAATTTCCTTCTGTCCTGTACTTTCTATCGATGTTATTTGGACAGTGCCTTTTATTTCTAATCCTCACTTAAACGGAAAACCCAAGAAATGCTTACTCTTACACTCTTAAGAGTGGTTTTTTTTCTTTAAAGTATCTTTGTTTTTTCTCTTTCAGACCTGGGCCTGGATCAGTTCATAGTGAAACGCTATGATGGGAAGGTGAGCACATTAGACTATTAACTGTGTTTTATTCAATGGCTTTTTTAACCTAGAGTCCTTTAGTTATTACCTGCATGTGGGTGTAAGTTAAATTAAGTATTTGAAGTATTCTGGTCTGAGCCTTTTGTTGTTAAGTAGCATTGCATTGCTTTTTCTGTACTGACAGAAAGATTTTTTTTTTTTTAAGGGGTCTTTTTTTAGTGTTTGCAGACAAAAGGTTGCCTCTCCTTATATACTGGTAGGCCAGGAAATTATAGGTTGTAATCATGTTTCCTTGCTGCTTCTTTATGACTCTGAGTGCACCACAAGTGACGCTGTTTCAGGAGAAACTTACTTGACCTTTCCCTTCCAGACTCATCTCTGGATTCCTAAAGGAAGGAGACACTCTTGTATTTTTATCTGTATTGCCAGCATGTAGTTCCCCACCCCATCAAACAACCTTGCTCCCTTTTGAACCCTAGGTCCTTCCTACAGCTGTACATGACTGTTCTGGATGTTTGTGCTATCACGATGCGTGTTGGTAAAATGTTGAGCATGCTCTGATCTAGTTTTGTCTGCCTGCCTAAGTGGAGCCGTGTAGCATCCTACCTGTTATGGAAATCAGAGACCAAATTAACCATGCCATAAATCCCATTGGTATGAAGGAGTACGGTAAAGGCACCTCTGGTTCTAGGACTAGCAGTTCATGTTGATTTCTTGAGGTAGATAACTGTAGGTTTGTTGATTTTACATCATATCACCATGGGCACATAATGGTACTCCAGCTTTTAGCAGTATTTTAGTTTCGTCTGTTTCATCTGAAAATAAAGCTTCTGTTTTTCCAAAGGAAAGTCAGCATCTGATCCACTCATAGCTAAGTAATATACCTGATACATAGTGTCAGGCGTTTCCAGAAAGCCTCGACACTCAAAAAAAAATGCATTTAAAGCTTTATAGAAACACAGTGTGGGCTGAACACATGCAGTTCTGTGTCTTGTTTTGTGTTTGATAGAGAAAGGTAAAGACGGAAGGTGATCAAATTCCTGCAGTCCCTGTCATCAGCAGCGTACAAGTGTTCTGGTTACCCAGGCAGCAGAGCGAGATTTTGCTTGAAAACAGACAATTGGAAGGTAGTATTTTGGCAGTTAGTTTTGATGCATAAAACTACGAAGCGTGTTGTGAACGCTTGTTTTCTTCTTCCCCTGCCACAAGCCCAATGTCTGCTTTTCATGATTAAAAAAGCCAACCAACCAACCAACCAAAAAGTACATGTATTCTTTGCAAAATATCAAATGTTTCTCCCTCTGGTTTATGACAGTCTATTTTGCATCCACTCACTTTCATCATTTTATCTTGTTCAGCTATCACATTTATCCCTTAGGCTTTTACATAAACAAGATTGGTTTTTAGGGAAGAAATGCTGAATCCCACACTATTTTTGCTAATCGTTGCTCTGTTCCTGAGTGCTCTGCTGTTAGTTCTTATCACGTTGGATAAAAGATCCAAAGGCAATCCCTTTGCTGAACTCAACTTTCTGTTCCTCTGCCCTTCAGCACCGAGGGCTTGGATTGCAACACATTTGGATGTGATGGACAGTCACCACACAGGGGTGTTGAAAACCCACAGTCGGTGTTTAAGGTACCGTGTTCGACTGTGTGTGGTCATCCATGCTCTTAAGATTTTGCCAGCATGGTGAAGATCTATGTTAGCCAAAGGGTGGAGAACAGATAGCCTTTGCATTACACTCTAATCGCATTTCGCTCTGACCTGTAGCACAGTGAAATTGCTTTTTATATAACTTACAGATGTTGGTGCTGCACTTGGATGTCTATGTGCTGTGGTTTGGATAGTCTGAAAGTGAGGCAGCAGATTTAGGGTACTGCAGTGGACTTTTCTTTATTGCTATCTTGTCCTGGGACTTATTTTTTCCACAGTCTAATAACACCATAGAAGCGGTTTGCACTGTTGAAAATGAAGAAATAGAGGTTCTTGTTTGCTTTGTCTTTCTGCTTAAAGACACCTTGGGACTGGCTAAATCTGACTGTGGCTATAAAGATAGTGGTAATGTCCAGGTGAGAGGATAATTTGAAAAGAGTATAAAATAAGTAGGCCTTGGTGCTCTCTTGGTGATGGAAGAAGTTGACAGTAGATTGGTCTGTTTGATAGCATCTTGTTCTCATTTTATTGCTTGCTTTGGGTTTCAGTTTGAAAAACAACACTGTCTTTACTCAGTCAAGCACCAACCGAGGTGCTGCAGAGCTGACCTTAATCATTCACGTTTCACTTGCACAGTAGCACTCAAGGGATAAAGCCCTTTTGCACCTCTTCCTCCTTGCCTGTTTCCAACTATGTATTCCTCTTGGGTTATCAAAGCATACTCTACCTGGAGATGATTTTCTGGTGCTTTGTCTTTGTGTGTTGGTGGAGCAGATGAGCTCAAGCAGAAAGGTAAGAGGTCCATCATTCCCCTAAGTATCCTTACAAATGTCACATGGAGGTAATGGGATTTGCAGTACAGGTGTGTGCTCAAAAAGTAATAGGCCTGTTCACTGGAAATTTCCTCTTCATCTTTAAGGGGAAAGGAGCAGTTGAGCAGTCAGACACAATCAAGCTGTGCTACTGGAAAGTACTGACAATCTGCACACTAGATCCTGACTGAAGAGTAGCAAAGAGAATTAATTTTAGTTCCAAACAAAGTTGTATACCCAAGGATGCATGCAAGTGATAATTTAGAAGGAGATTCAGTTAGAAGAATAGAACCAGCTGTGCAGTCGGTTGCATTTTAATTACGTATTACAGGACAATGTTTAAAGTATCAGTGTGAATTTTGAGCATGTGTATTTCAGATTTAAATGCTAAAGCATTAGTAAGCAGATGTACAAGTGGCTCTTTTCACAGAACCAATTCTATTTACATAAAACTGCCCTCAAAACAACTAACTGACAGTTGTGTGGTGATCGGAACTGGTCTTAACAGAGGATTTTGTGGAGTGATGTGCCTCTGAATTGTAATTGTGTTGGGTACATCTTGCTGTGCATGTGATTGAATGCTACGGTGAGAAGACAATACCCGCTTTTTTTTTTCTGCCCCCTACCCCTTCTTCCTAGTGGTAATTTAGAGTTGATGGAGAGGGAGGTAAATGTTACTGCCTTATTAATGGGAACAATGCTCCTGTAATTTGAGCCTAAATGCTTTTTCTTCCCTTATTGCAAGACCAAAAACCCTGGAGACATTCATCCAGCAAAAACTCTTGGTCAGATCTGTTTGCCAACATGAACTCATACTTTTCTTTGACCTGCTGCTGGGCTGAGTGTGTAGAGAGGCAACTCTATCCCTGGCTCCATTTTTTGTCTAAGCATGGTGGTTTCTCCCCCAGGGAGATAAGCTCTGGAAGGTAGAGGAAAAGAGGCATTGATTGCTACTCATTCAGAGTAGAAAAAAGATATTAATCAGTCTGCAAACATTTGAAAGTGTTCATACTGAGCCTGAACAAAAAGCCGATGTGAGAATAGACAGTCTAATGTGTATCTCAGGGTGCTGTGGCATGAAGGTATCCAAACCACAACTGTTTGTCTGCTCCATTTCCACTGTGTCCGTTTCCTCCTCTTGCATTTTGGCAGTGGGAACGCAAATGCTTTTTTAACCCATCCGTAGGAAAAATATCTCATGTTGTCCCTTCTCTTGTCCTGCCATCTTGAAAAGCATGCCTCCGGTTAGAAGGAGTGAAGTCCTATTTAATTTAAATGTGCTGTTCCCCTCCTGCATGTTTGTTAGGGCTTGAGAAAGGGCACTTCTGAGAGTGTTGTGGAGATGTTCTTCATATATCTGATTTTCAAATGGAGGCATTGTGCTGTTTCATGGCTCACTGCTTACCTCTTTCTTGGCAAGATGATAGTGATGAATAAGCTCACACTAAGTGGAAGTGTATATTGCAGAATGGTCACCTGGGTCCTCTGGTGTGGTCGCCATCCTGGTGAGCCAGCACAGGGGAGCTCCCAGGCATCCCACAGCTGAGCATTCAGCAGTGCAGGCCAGTGGAAAGATGTGAGCAGGGTCAGAAAATGGATGTGGTGGGTGTACAGCAGAGATCTATCTCTGTGCGGTTGGGTGCTCACACTGAAGGTGAGAAGAGACTTAGGAATTTAGTCTATTTAGGAAAAAAACCTCACCCTAGATGGCTTATTAGTTGAATATAGAATACACTTATTTTTGTTCTCTTGTGGGTAAGATATCTTGCTGCTGCTTAATACAAACAAAAGCCTTCAAGCTACCAGCAACAGCTTACCCTCCTGTTATCGTTGTTGTGGTAAGCAATTATAGAGGCTCTCAATGCCCTCTAATTAAATTTATGAATTAAATATTTCCTGCCAGTATTTATATTTACATCTCTAGATGTTTGGGGATGCCGTAGAGTAATGCAGAGCAATAGCAAAATGAAGGAAAAGGAAAATATTTCAGATGGTTTCTGTAAGGGCCAGTAAAATATCTGAAATGTGCTTCCACTGGATAATGCAGACTTGTCTCATGGGCCAGTACCATGATTAGCTTAAACTACACTTACCTGCCAAGGCCCTTTACCTGGAGGTGTGTGTCCGTTAAAGAAGAGTTTCTGGGAGTCAGCTTAGGAGGAAGATTTCTTGCCAGAAGATTTGAAGAGCATCTCAGGAGCAGAGGAGCCTGAAAAAATGTATTCAGGAAGGATCCACATGGAAAGGACTGGAGGTAGATTGACCATCCTTTTCTGGTGGATTGAAGGATCGTGCTGCCATATTGAAAGAGGGGGGAAAAAGGAGACTTCATTAGCCTGAATTTTGGGGGTCCTTTGCTTTGCCTATGAGCTAAGACTTCCACCAGAGTGGCATAAGCTGTTGTAGACCTGAGCTTTCAGCAAGTTAGACAAGCTCTAAGTCCTGTTGTCATTCAGGAGCCAAACGTTGGATCAGAGCTCTGAGGTCCTGTGATGTTTAAGTGCCTCTGAAACCTTCATTTGAAAGAATGCAACACTAAATGATACCTTAATAAAAGCAAGATAAGGGAATTCAGTGAATTGTGTTGTAAAGTGCATGTGCAGTTGATTTACTGAGCCTGTTAACTGAGAAGGATACTCAGTACTTTCTCTAGCTTAGATGCAATGAAAACGGGTGAGAAGCCCTCTAAATCCAACTGGATGAGGTCTAGCTAATGTCTGTTGTAAGAGTGTTTGAAATAAATGAGTCCCCAGGGTCAGCAGTTTGAGCTGTTGAGTGTAGGTTATGGCTTGCTTGGAGATAACCTTGAAGCCTTCAGCTATCCCGGTCCGTAATCCATGTGAAACATCAGTGTCCTATTTCAGATTTCCTGCTTTTAAATTCCTTCACCTTCTGATCTCAGTGCAGGTAGAATTTACATAATAACCAGGATGGATCTTCTTGCATAGCTAATAACCTTATGCTCCTATGTATGAATGGTCCTCTGCAGCATCGTAATGAACTGGTGGGAGATAATTCTTGTCTGTGACCCTTTGTGGAAGCAAGCAGAGATGCAGTTTATTGCAGATAATCAGCAAATCTGAGCTGAGCTGTCAAGATTCTTACCTTGTCTGTCTTTGCTGACACCGTTGTCCATGTTTGTGGGATTCTTTGCTTGCTAGCTTTCTCCTCCCTGCCAAACTTGGCCCTCGCCTCTGCTTTGGTTAGCAGTTTTGAGTTACTTTTATGTTCCTTACCAGTTTTCCCTGTTTTCTGGGATCTGTGTGGACTCTGAACTGCAAATTCTTCTCTTGGCTTTTTTTAATAAAAACAAGTGTTATCAAAGAAAATACTTAGTTGCTTCTAACACAGGTAAATGCACGATGCACAAACATCCCTGTGGACACCTGGGTTACTTTGCATGCATGTACAGAACATACTTCATCCCTTCCTACCTCCTCTACCAAATATTTGTGGTGTATTTTAGTTTTGTCAGAGCTCTACTTACTGTTATCTTTTTATTACTGCTAATTCTGTTGCTCGTTTTCACAGAGCTCGTTTTGGCAGATACTACTAAAAAGCTCTTGTTGCTCTATGTTCTCTTCTGGTTTCTAGGTATCCAGCGCGTATTTCTTCCAGCTACTAATATCTCTGATACTTGTGTCTTTATTCTAACTATGGTTTGGGTTTTTTTTTTTTTTGGTGTAACCAAGCATTCCCTCATTTTCTTCCCTTTTCTAACCCTCTCCCCTTCCACCAGGATTTCTGGCAGGTACAAAGCAGACAGCATGTGCTTTGATTAGTTTGTGCTTCAGACCTCATAATACGCACTTTTCATGTAAAAGGGACAGTGTACGCTCACCCTTTCTGCCCGCTCCTTTAATAAATAATCCTGAATCCTCTCCTTGATTCTCAGCCTAAAGGATTTATTTGAGAATACTTGAATTCGGCTTGTTAAGAGTACAGTCCTCAGGGTAACCGTTAATACATGGCTTTATTAACGGGAACATCTTTGAGCAGACTTCAAATGTGTGCCTCCCCGTCCTCCTATTTTCATAGTTTCTTTTGAGGCTTCTGACTTATTCTGCAGCTTGATGAGACCGCAATAGCTGGCTCTGTTGGAAAATGGCCTTTTCTGCTCCAGGCCACAAAGTTGGGTTTATTCTGTGAGAAAGGACAGGTGTCTCTCTGGCCAAATGCTGTGGGTAAACATGGTGTATTTGCATGTGTGTAAGTTTGGGGAAGGTTATTTTTTGCAAACTTTCTTGAGGATTTCAAGTTACAGAACTATGTAGGATGAACTATATTAAATAATTCTTATGAAGAAGATATTTAGATGCTATAGTTCATAAGGTGGTTTCTAGGAAAAAGAACTAGAAATTAGAGAAGTTCATTCAGTATTAGTAAGTAAAGAGGGAAATGTACTCTAAACGCTTGCAGTTTGCCCTGTAGCTTTGTGACCTTAGTGAAATCCGTAGGGGAAGTTAGCAAAAAATAAGCAACTTGGTGACAAAGTGCCCTTAGTGGGTGTATGCAGACTTTTAATCAAAAAGTGGCTTATGGGATCATTTTTTGGTTTAATTTCTTCAATAGTTGTGCTGGTTTTAGACTAATGCTTAATACTT